AAAAAAAAAAAAAAAAAAAAAAACAGTTAGACTTACCATATTTACCATGTTTCGCCCACTTTCCAACTAATGTTTTACATACCCCACCCAAGTTTTTCTCTCCTTATCCTTACTCTACTTTTTGGCCACACCTGCCACTTCTGACCTCATAATCCCTCAACTGCAGCCTCAGGCCCCACCCCTGGGGATGCTGGTTATCCACAACTACCAACAGCTCTGTCCTGGCTGCCCAGCGTGGGCATCCTCAGCCTATGAAATCCATCTGCCTCTCCAGTCCACCAATCCTATAGGCCTATTTGCCCCACACAAGGCCTCTAGAACACCATCCTTCTGCATGACTCATCAGTGAGGCGATCTTGAGGGCATGTTCATCTATATCAAACATGGAGGTGAGGGGCCACACAGAACTAGAGTCTGTAGATGGGGGTGGAGGGATCTGAGGGCAGTGGAGATCACAGAAATGGGCCCACGTGTCCCATTCCATCTCTTCTCAGATAATCAGCAGTTTCTGGTCAATACCAACTGCTCTGTCACCGTGATGCTGTATTACATCCGCAAAAAACTACAGTTGCCTAAAACAAGTGAGGAGATTGGGGAGAAGACTAATGGCCAAAGGTCAGAAGTAGCTGGGTTGTCTCTAATCCCCAAGCCCTCCTCCTGGCAAGAAGGGAGTTCCTCACATCCTTACAGCTTCCTCCAAACCATTCTGCATAGGATCACTGGCCCCTTTTACTCCCACTCTCTTTCCTTAGCTGCCCCAATTACCCTGTGGTCTCCCTCCAGGCTCCATCGATTTGTGTGATGAAGCAGGGACGATGAAGATGCTTTTCCAGATGAAGCCCAACCATACAGACTATGCCAGCAAATATCTTACAGCTCGAGGCACCTACTATGTTTGTAAGGTGGAGCGTGGGCCACCAGGTAGAGTCTTGGGAGTGCTCCCCAGAAATAGAACAAGGCCTTCAAGATAGATTATAAACCTTATCTTTAAAACAGGGCATCCAAGGCTGGGCACAGTGACTCATGCCTGTAATCTCAGCACTTTGAGAGGCCAAGGCGTGAGGATCGATAGAGGGCAGGAGTTTGAGACCAGCCTGGGCAACATAATGAGACCCTGCCTCCAAAACAAAAACAAAACCAAAAACAACCAAAACCAAATTAAAACAAAAACGGAACACCCTCAACCAGATCCAAACTGACCATCTCTAGTCAGCCTAAGGAAGGGCACTGCCTCTGTAACAATAGATTAGGCTCACACATACGCTTCCCTAGGTCCATACCTAAGGGGAAGAAATAAGATCCACCAGCTCAAGGTAGTTTTTATTTTATTTTATTTTATTTATTTATTTTTTTTGAGAAGGAGTTTTGCTCTTGTTGCCCAGACTGGAGTGCAATGGTGCAATCTTGGCTCACTGCAACCTCTGCCTCCCAGGTTCAAGTGATTCTCCTGCCTCAGCCTCCCGAGTAGCTGGGACTACAGGCGCGCGCCACCACGCTCTACTAATTTTTTGTATTTTTAGTTGAGACGGGGTTTCACCATGTTGGCCAGGCTGGTCTTGAACTCCTGACCGCAGGGGATCCACCCACCTCGGCCTTCCAAAGTGCTGGGATTACAGGCATGAGCCACTGTGCCTGGCAAAGTAGTCTATTTATTTACTTAATTTATTTATGATGGAATCTCGCTCTGTTGCCCAGGCTGAAGTGCAGTGGTTTGATCTTGGCTCACTGCAACCTCTGCCTCCTGGATTCAAGCAATTCTCCTGCCTCAGCCTCCCGAGGAGCTGGGATTACAGGCACCCACCACCATGCCCGGATAATTTTTTCTTTTTTTTTGTATTTTTGGTAGAGATGGGGTTTTACCATGTTGGCCAGGCTGGTCTCAAACTCCTGACCTCAAGTAATCTGCCCACCTTGGCCTCCCAAAATGCTGGGATTACTGGCATAAACCACCACACCCAGCAGGTAGTCTTTAGTGTTGGGTCCTGGAATCTTGGGCTTCAGGAGGGTGAAGACTGGATGACAAGGGCTGGAGATAGCACATGGCTATATTCATACACGGCTATATTCACAGGAACCAGGATGGAGGCTGCTTACAAAGGTTTTGTGCCTCTCCTCAAGAATCCGGAGCCTCTGCTGCTTGGTAAGAAGCGAGATGGGGGAGGGAAGAATACGAAAGGTACAGTATATAGCTGTGTGATGGAGAATGTAAGGTGGGACTAATGTGATATGGTAGGTCAGATGATAGGAGCCTAGGAAAAGGGGGACAGGGTCCAGGTCCATGTTAGGAGGGATGTTTAGCTCACACCAGGCGTAATGTGCGTGTGTTACTCCCTGCTTCTCCCATTTCTTCTTCTTCTTCTTCTTCTTTTTTTAATTGAGACAGGGTTTTGCTCTTGTTGCCCAGGCTGGAGTGCACTGCAACCTCCACCTCCTGGGTTCAAGTGATTCTCCTGCCTCAGCCTCTGGAGTGGCTGGGACTACAGGCGCCCGCCACCACTCCCAGATAATTTTGTATTTTTAGTAGAGATGGGGTTTCTCCATGCTGGTCAGGCTGATCTGGAACACCTGACCTCAGGTGATTCACCCGCCTTGGCCTCCCAAAGTGCTGGGATTACAGGCGTGAGCCACCGCGCCCAGCTCTGCTTTCTCCATTTCTTGGCCATCTTCTCTGCATATCATCTCCCTATCACCATCCCATCATTTCCATCTTAGGCCAGGTGGGTCTCCAGCCGATGATACGAACAATGGATGGGAGCATCAGAAAGGGTAAGGTCTCTAGTTCTCAGAGGTGCAGGTGCCTTCTCCTTGTTTTTAGTTGCACTGCGCGCACAATGTGACGCCCTGGAGAGGAGCCGACTTGAGAGGCTTAGACTGCTAGAAGCCAAGAAGGTCGTTACAATTGAACCCTCTGCAATTGTCCCGGTAAGACTCACCAAATGTGGTCTGCCCTAGCACCCCGCTCTCCCCACCGCCAACCAAATGTTCCTCCATCCCAGCCCTCTGAGATGAATTTCCTGCCTCCAATTTCTTTTTTCCTTCCTTTGGCCCTGGGTTGTAGAAACTTTCGCTACAGGGGCCTGTTTGTTTACTTACTTTCTTTTTCTAGTCCAAGCTATCAGGACGAGATGAAAAGAAGTCCACTCGCAAGTCTCTGGCCTCTAAGAGCAAAGTAGATTTTAGGAAGGATAAACGTCGTCCACCCACTAAACTCACCAAGCAAAAGAAGTAATACAAGGTGTAAAATTACTGGAATTTAGTGTGAAATTTCTGTTTCTAGAAATACTTCTCCCAATAACTGCACTAAGGCTTGAGTACGTAAGCCCCAGGCACTGAGGAGGCTCTGAGGGTGGATGGGAATGGCAGGAGAGGGCTGGGGCAAGCACATGGGTGGGGGTGAGGAAGGCTGTGAAGTCTAGTACAATGAGCCTTTGAGGGAACGAGTAGGGGGTGGGGTCTTCTCAAACCAGACTACCTCCCCTAGGGAGGCCTATCTCACAGTCCGCCTACTCCTGCAGGGGTTAGGTGTCCCTCCCCCCCCACACTCCACCACTTCCCTGGGCTGAAATTCCCCCACCCTCCACGTCTCTGCCTCTGGGCAGTTTCTTCCTCCAGCCCTTTGCCTTTCCCCCTCCCTCTCCCTTATTCAAGGGGAGCGGCAAGACAGCAGAAACAAGAGCTGGTTATAGGCATTTATTGAATTTATTCATTTATTGATTTGACACACTTCCCCACTCCAATCTAGCACATGATACAATCTGGGTAGGCCA